GCCTTTTATGAACACAGCATCCCAATAATTGGCCCTGCTTTTAAAGGCATACAAATCTAATGGAACAGATAACTGGTGGTAAATCAGTCCAGTGTATATCAGGGAACAAGTAGATTACACTGATGAGTTTCAAGAATCACAGAATCACAGAACATGATGAGCTGGAAAAGACCCACAAGGATCAAGTCCAACCCCTAGCACTGCACAGGATGATCACCAAGAGTCACATCATAAGCCTGAGAGTATCATCCAAATGCTTCTTGAACTCCTTCAGGCTTGGTGCTGTGACCACTTCCCTGGGGAGCCTGTTCCAGCGCCCAATTGCCCTCTGGGTGAAGAATCTTTTTCCATTGTCCAATCTAAACCTCCTCTGACACAGCTTCAGGCCATTCCCTCCATTTCTGTCACTGGTCACCACAGAGAAGAGATCAGTGCCTGCCCCTCCTCTTCCCCTCACAAGGTAGTTGTAACTGCAATGAGGGGTCCCTTCAGTCTCCTCTTCTCCAGGCTGAACAGAACAAGTCACCTCAGCGACATCTGATATGGCTTCCCCTAAAGACCTTCACTGTCTTCTTTGCCCTCCTTTGGAAACTCTTTAACAGTTTAATATCTTTCTTAATTGCAGTGCCCAAAACTGCACACAATATTCAAGGTGAGGCCACTCCAGTGCAGAGCAGAGCAGGACAATCCCCTCCCTTGACTGGCTCGCGATGCTTTGCCTGATGCCCCCCAGAACACAGTTGACCCTCCTGGCTGCCAGGGCATTCTGACTCCTATTCACCTTGCCATCAACCAGGACCCCCAGATTCCTTTCCACGGCACTCCTTTCCATCATCTCATTCCCCAGTCTATATGAACACCCAGGATTTCCCCATCCCAGGTGCAGAATCCAGTACTTTCCCTTGTTGAACTTCATATGTTTGGTGATTGCCCAAGTTTGATCAGCTACAGCCTTAACAGACTAAATCTGCTGCTGCTGCCTAAGAAAAGTTCAGTATGAATTCTCAGTTTTTAGTGTCACAGCCCTTTATGTGGTTCCCTTTGCTGTTGTTTCAAAGAACCTCAAGCATGGTCCAAAACCACGTTACAAATCATTTCTAGTATGCTATGGTATGTTAAGGTAAGTAGTATTTAACTCACACAGCTGACCAGTCTGTGAGTGCTGCTCCCCTCCCTTCCTTTGTGGGCAGGGAAAGGTGGATAGCTTCCAGCAACTACATTTTATCCTGATATCCAATGATGAAGAAGAGCACAGCTCATTTAACAAAGTACCCTAGGAAGAGTTCAAAAAAGTAAAAGTGATAAGTGAAGAGAGAAGAATGAACATTTGACCCTTCCAGTTATTATGCTCTCTTCAGAAATAAGACCAGTTGAGTGTCCATAAGGCTTTCATTTCAGCTCTACCTTAGAGCACTTCTTGACAATTTTGTGGTTGCTCCTCTAGCTACTGGCTGTGGCAGCATCTACCTTGTCCTTCAGTTCCTACCTGTGTTTGCCACCCCTATCCCTGATCAGCTGCTCTCTAGCACTTCAAACTTCTTAAAAACAGCTTGCAACAGTTTTTATTAATATACAAAAACAGAAGCAATTTTAAGGTCTGATAGTCTGAACTCCTTCCAGGCCTGAAAGCAATTGTTCCATATTTTATAGGTGAGCTGAAATCCCCTTCTGTGCAGCTGTATGTAGTTCCCATTTCTAGCCTACAGAGAGCTAGGGATATAAAACCTCCCACAGAAAGAAAACATCCATCTATATCCTACAGGTCACAAAACAATCACCAAAAAATAATGAGCTTTCCTTTTTGCTGACCTGAGCAGAATTCAAACTGTGAAATTTCCATGACCAAGATCATTTGGTTCAGCTACAGTGCCTAAGTGAGTAGCTGGTTTTAATTTTTGCATACTTGACTTTTGCTGTTTGATTATTTCAGGCATCTTACTTCCTTGAGTATTACTTAGAGGAGGGATGAAAATAAAATGATACATGAAACCATGAAATGAAATAAAACATGACATTCACAAAAGAGAGAGAAAGAGGAGATCTCGTTCTAAAGCGAGCATAATTTCACTGGAATAGACAGAGATGCTTTGTTTGTGTCAGGACTCTGTTTTTCCCAGAGAAGTCCAATCTAGAAAAAAAAAAAAAAAGCATAGAAGAAGGTCATCATTATTACTGTAGGCACTTAATTAGATTTCTTAACTGTATCTTGATTGATCTGTAAGGGTTTTAGAGATAGGGAGCCAAAAAGCATTAGGGGCAAAAATTGAATTTTATGGAAAGCTTACTGAGTCAATAATTTTCCCTGGCTCCTTTTTTCATTCCTTGAATCCATTCACAAAGCAAAACCTTCCTTCAATCCCATAAGTGCCTTCACGGCAGAGCCTGCCAGAGTCAGTGCCAGGGCTGAATGAGCTCTCTGTGCCCACTCTGCCTGCAGTTCTCTCTGCTTCACCCACAGCACCCTGGCCACTGCTGGCACTGGCCTCCACACAGCACTTCAGTGCCACAGCCCAGCATCAGTGGGATTTTCCTAGCTTCTAGCAAGCTGCTGCTGGGTGTGTGATCCGTGCCAACAGACAGAGCTTGTCAGGTAAAAGGAAGCCTGCAGGGAAGTAAAGCCCCTGCAAAACACCTTTGCCAATGACAAATAAAAAAAGGTGTTAAAACTGAAATAAGGGTCTGATCATGACTATATTTCAATCATACTTTCTTCCCTTGCTATCCACCAGGGTAGGACTGTGTCATAACATTTGCAGGGATGGGGATTTACGAACCATACCGCTCCTAAGAGGACAGAAATTGGTAAAGATCCAAGCCGGAACAGATTTAAACAAATCCATGGTGGTTTTGGAGTGGGTTAGCAGCTGCCCTGGCTTGAAATCCAGGACTCAACATCATTAATAATACCTAGTTACCCACAGAAGGCTTGGACTCAGTTCTCCACCACTGACAGCTCAAACGTGGAATCATTACTGGGTTTAGATGATATCAAAAATAATCATGCTTTGTGGAGGACACCGTCATTTTGCATGGATTTGGTAGTACAAGCTTTCTATTACAGGCTCATTCAAACATGCATTTTTTTAAAAAAAGGGAAAAAAAGCCACTTCTAGGACACACACTTCTCTAGGACATTTGCTACTGCTGTCAAGGTAGAGATACTGTTCATTTTCCTCATCAGGCCCAGCATGCATGCTGGAGTTCTCATGCTGAGGAAATCTGCTCGCTCTGACTAGCAGGTGGAGAAATGAATTACAGCAACCATCCCTCTAGGCAAAAAAAAAAAAAATCTACTGGTTGTCACAATAGTTAGGTGTGAGTTCTCATTGTCCTTCACTTTTGCAGGGATTTCTTTTTTTTTGTCTGCAGATCTGCTAATATTATCATCTGCTCATCTCCCAGGGTGTTGGTTCGTTTCTGTTGCCTTTTTCTCATACCACAGAGCCATTAGGCATGAACTGTACTGGATTGCCCTAATGAAACCCAGTGATTGCCACACCCAGCTTTTGTTGCTCCCTTTCCCTATCCAGTTGGCCCTTGAGGGAGTACCTCTATACATCTTCTTGGGACTTCTTCACTGTGTGTTCCACATGAGTGCCTCTACATTCTCTGTACCATAATAATTTCCCTCTGTTTATTTAAAAATGCAATCCAGTATAATGGAAATTTTCCAGCTACTCCAGTCAAGTAAATAACTACATGTAATTTGGAACCTAAAATTCCTTTGTTTCACTCTACCTTGCCATATAGAAACAAGACAGGTACTCAGTGGTACAGAGTCAACAGCATGTAACCAATAGCACGTAGTCCATCTAGAAAGGGCTTTCTTATGACTCTATGGCACAAAGATGAGGAAAAGACTCTGATATGGCCAATGTCAACTTAGAAATATTTCCAAGAAACCTGATCCCTCAGAAGTATCAGATGAGTCACAATTACTCCTTCATTTCGCTGGGGAGGGGGCATGGATAAATAGCTTATTAATACTAGCTCATAAAATCTAAAAATTGCAACAACCCACAGGCGGTTCAGTTACAGTGGCTGCCATGTAGGGGAGACAGAGCCAAGATCCACCCAGCCTCTGTAGCTTCCCTCCTAAACTTGTAGCTCCACCACTTCCCACTGTAGTCAGACCCACGGTATGAGCTGTCTGTGTAGGCGTGTTTGCAAGTGGTATTTCTCCAAGGCAGTGTAACACTGACACATTATGATGAACTAAATCATGATCTATCCCTGCAGAAAGGCAAACTGAGTGATAATGCTGGTGGATTTTTGCAATATAGCCCCAGGTGACTGCCAGTCTTTGCTTCTAAGGCTTGGGCTAAGCAGTGGTGGGGTCCACATGAACATTTGACATATTCTCAGGGACAAAGGGGAATAAGTTGCCTCTACAGAAAGCTATGCTTTAGTGCTGGTTTAAAGACAATAGATGCTTGTATTATAAAATATTTGTGTATAGTCCATTTAAAAATAGGTAATGTGATGACTGAATTACTTGACTCTATTTTCACAGTAAACTCAGCTATAGCAAACCTCCACTTATAGCAAGGCAAATTAAAGTCACTAATTGTTTCATATGTGCAATGTGGGAATTGAAGTTTCATTTATAATGAAACTTTGATTACACTATAATTGTTCTGGCATAAAAATTATTCCATTTTCAGAGGCTTCTGCTGTGTTTTCACAGTCTATCTGTGTCTGCAGTAGTTTTAATATTTCTTGACTAGCATTGTGCAATCACAAATCTTTAAGCTTCCCCAGAACTGTGATTCATATTGCTTGATTCTCAAAATCTGGGCAAACTCAACAGAAACACTGTTCTTTTGGTGGAAAAATAAACAGAATCCCAGTGGTTTGGATAGCCTGATAAGTCCTGATTGTTCTGTACAGAATCCCAGGGGAAATACCAACTGCTGCTTTTTACTTTACTTGGCAGAATTCTGCACTTGACATGTCCTCTGGTGCTTTTCCTCTTACAGAAAGCCACTGTTCCCCTCTAGAAGATGCTTCTGTGACTTCCTACCAGAGCTTATCTAGTAATTGCCTACAAAGTATGAGCATGCCTGCACTGAATATCTGGAATGAGAAGACATCATTGAAAAGACCTTCACAAACTTGTTCCTAAGGTAATTAAATGCATAAATCATATTTCTCATGACCTTTTCCCTCCTGTAACATGTTTTGCTTCACACTCATCCATGAAGATCACCTCCAGGTCGTTATCGGTACAACTCTGAATGTTACAGTTTTTGATATTTCTCCTATATGTTTGCACTGATATGACAGTGGTTTGGGACTCTGAGCTGTTTGTAGCAGGCACCTAATTTTCTCCGGTTTCTAATGCCTACAAGCTTGAAAACTTCATAGGATAATACATAATAATAAGCTGAATTTTATCAGGTGTGCTTCCTTTACAGCATTTCCAGTGTCCTCTCCTATTACAAAGGGAAACTGTAGCTCTCAGCTGGTATAGGAGGGGAGCAACTCTACACCCTAGAAACCCTAGGGTAGTTACAGATAGTACAGTGAACGAAGAAGTATTTGTAATTAATGTCAACAGATATGGGTATGAGGTGACTGACAACAGTGTGTAATTGTGGCCCAAAGAAGGGAGACTTGCAGCTGAGACCAAGGGTGTTGTTTCCATGTCACTGATACCAGGATTGAACTGTGAATATTCACATCACTGGAGTGAGAAGTATTCAATTTCCTCAAGATAAGCTCTCTATAATCTGAAAGTGTGAGAAAAATGTGTTAGGACACTTCTTGGGAATCCTTTTGTGAAAATGAGACAGGTTTCCAAAATATGAGAAAATTAACACCGCAAAGGAAGCTGTTTTGCCAGATTACTTCAGCCTTTTCTTATTAAACACTCCTCCACAAAAAGACTTCAGTTCTTCTGGGTAACACCTATAGGCATCAGCAGTAATATGGTTTAGGATTTAGCTGGCATTACTAATGAATTTTTATGTGTGACATACCTCTGGATGGAAAAACTACCATATTAACATTGAAAAGTGGAGCCAATTTAAACTGGATTATTTAAAGGCTTTTCCTATGCTTCCATTTTATAAATACTAATGACATGTTCTACTGCTCATGTTATAAATCGTTCATGTGACACAGGCATTCATTTCTATATATTTGAACATTACACTGTCACTATTTTAGAAGATCTCTGTTCTCAGCTGAAGAAACTGGTATTCTAAAAGTCTTTACATCCCTACATAGGACTTGCAATTTTCTGACAATCTCAATGATGGGGGTCTGGTGCCATTAAAAATCTATCATCAAATTTCTTCTTCTGATTTGTGTTTTATTCTGAAGGGGTTTCATCAGTCTAATATTTATCTCCTTGAAATTTCAGTCATTCTGCATTCATAGAGACTGAATTTATGGTAAATACATCTGCATCTTTCAGTATGTCATGGAGTTCCAGGTAGGCTAAAAAAAATCCTTTGATCAGTTATAATAAATTTCTTGGTTCAGATAACGTCAAAATTATCCATTAACAAATAACATCAGTGCTGAGATACATCCCGTAATTGCCTACCATCCAATTGTATTCTTGATCGAACCTAGATGATGCTGGAAAAGTATAATTAGCAAATCTGATTGTAATCTATCATAAACCAAATTAACATATGGAAAATGATTCAGCTGATGCTTTAGAAATCTAAAGAGAATTCCTATTATGTTAGAATGTCTTACATCAGACACTGACATGAAAAGAAAGGTAAAACTAATTAGAACATTTCCTGTAAAAATACTTTTCATTACAAAGTTCCATATGTCAAAACTGAAGCTATTGAAAAGGATTGGTTTTAGTAAGTCAGGATAATTTAAATTCCAAATTGTCAAAATACCTTGCTTTTATTCTGTCAAGGGAAAGTCTTCTTTTCTGACATAAAGCAAAAGTCTTCTTTTCTGATGTAAGATTCTTTTTGTTTGTTTGTTTGGCATTTTTTTGCAGCAATTTTCATTACTATATCATGAAAAAGGTTTAAAAAATAGAAGTCAGTTATCAGAAAAAAAAATCATGTTTTGACTAAAAAAGTCTTTTTTATGTTACGACATCGCACTGAATTTTTTCTCTTTGTCCTGACTGAGATTCTCAAAAATTCCTCTGGATCAGAGACCTGCTTTCCATTCAGCTCTTGATTATCTCAGCATACTGTGCTATTGGTTTTAGTTAGGAGTCATGAGACAACATCAGTATTTTAAAAACTATCCAAATTTCTAAATTCTTTGTTTGTGGGCATATATATTTTAGAGTGTCTTTTCATACAGATGTAAGTTTAAAATGGTTAACATTTTGCATCCTTTTTTCCCCCATAGACTATAGCGCATTATAAAAATAGCTGTTGTTTTGTCAGGTCTTTCTTTATCATCCAGTAATAGACAGTTGATCCATGAGTGTGTATTTCATGTGCAAATCCTTTGATTTTCTGTTATACACTTCTATTGCTGGTTCCATAATTTTTTATATGCAGTTCCTTTGATCTTAAATAAATTAATTTGGAACCACTAGTAATTGACTGAGTTTCCTACATAAAAGCATTTAATATACTACCTTTTGAACTCTGCTCTCACATATGCTAAGAGAAATGTTAAAATTCATACCACATTTAGCAAAACAGCAAATCTGGGCTTGGTCAGATTCAGACAGAATTTTAAAAATAATACCCTTGCAGGTAGCTTCTTAATTACTCACTGCTTAATTGGAAGTCTTTAGTTAAGACTATGGTGTTGTCATAGCCGAAGAGAAACTGCCTCTTTAGAAACAGCTCTGAAATCAGTGCAGGGGCTGCACGATAAAAGCAAAACATTGACCTTCACACAGATCCTTATCATCAACCAAACCTAAGCATCAAAGCACTAGTTCAACACACTACTAAGACTCCATTCAGATGCAACTATCTGCTCTATCACCTACAGTTTTGCAGGATTCTGTAGTGAGCACAAGAGCAGTCTGTTCCCAAAGTGACTAAGACTTCTGGTCAAGAGTGAGGCAACACCTGTGCTGAAGCAAGGTGTTGTGTGTTCAAGTAAGACACAACCACTTTAAGGATTGCTGGCCTGCAGATGCCTGCAGGCTCTGAACCAGCACTGTTATCCTGTGCTACATCTGGGCTTTGAGCTCCATGAGTATATGGCTGTTCCTTATTTGGTTTATTCAAAGTGCAGACAAAGCAATTTCCCTGTATGGCAGGGAGACCTACCCAAAGTGACTGCAAGGAGTGCTTGTGCCCCTTTCACCAGTAGCAGATGCAGAGGTCCTTGAAATTGAAGAGAACTGGACACTAGATGCAAATGGCTGGTGCCTCTGGACCAGTGACACAGTGAAACTATTGACAGTTGTTCTACCAACCCTGTAATATGACTCATTCTTTATCTAGAGGGGGACTCAGCTAACTACTGCTCCAAGGACAGTCACTAAATCTGTGCAGGCACCATGACATTCATTGTCATTCATTTGGGTGTGTGGCTTGGGTCAGAGCAGCTGGACATGCGGAGCCAGCAATCATTAACGTACTGATACATATCTACTACTTATTGATGCCGTAAGACTCCTATGCATGTTCAACAGGACAGCTGAGGGGTCACAATGTCACCTGTTTGCTTCTTAGGCAAACTGATCCTCTGAGGCACCTAACAAGGAAATAAACAAAGGCTTCAAATCATCAGTCTTTCACCCTACCAGTAACCAACAAGTTTCACCCTGTAATTCGCTAAAAGATCCTACTGATGGTTACACTTTGCTGAATTAACATAACTCTGACTTGGACTAAGGTCTTATTTTTTATGACCCATACTGGAAACCTCAGACTTAAAATACTCAAATCTGACTGAGTTTTCTGAAGGATCTGGGCAGGCTCGAATTGGGGCTACATAGAATTTACGTTAAAATACTCCTACACACTTCCAAACCTTCCTGCAAGGCACTACCAAGGGAGAGGATGGTCTCCTGGCACTGTAAGAGCTGTAAAAAAATCAGTAAGACCTGAACTCCATCTCCTCTGAGTGCAGATGGACAAGCGAAGCTCAGGGAGGACATGGGATGATGTGTAGTTGTGGGGAATGTTCATGTCCAAGTTAATGCAGGTGCTCAGACTCTGGCTGGCAGCACTCAGGATAAACCAAAACCAGTAGGTCCCTATCTCACATCAATTTTCTGAGAAATAAAAAAGAAATCACTCAGCTACTATCCATAGATTGTATAGCATATGCAAGAAGGAAATCAAACAGTTGCCTAATCTGTCATTAGAAGAACAATCATCCAGTTCATTATCTGGAGTGTTTTCCTGGTAGCCTGTAGAGGGATTCTGAGCTGTCCTGAACATCATCTTGACTTCTAATACACTTAACTTCTTAGAAAAGGAATAGCTCTGTCTAAAAAGACTCACACTTTCAGAATACTGTTTCCTATCAGGAAATATCACAACATCTTCCTTCAGATTACAAGCATCCAGTTTGTGGACAAAAATATTCTAATGCTTTATTCATCTCCATAATTGCTGGTTTTAATATTCCCCATCCCACCAGCTGAGAAATCAGGTAAAAAATAAAATCGAAATACACTGATATTTATCTTAATGGAATATCTTCATGGTATGGAACTGAGTGTAAAGGAAAACACACAGTTACAGTGGTGTCTTCATGACAGAGTTAAAGACAACAATAATTTAGCAGCTCAGTCAGCAGCAATACATTCTCAACTAAATCCAAAGACAGATGTCTTAAGCTTTGTGGCCTTAGTGTATACAGCAGCTCACCTCCAGTCAGCCATCTTGTCATTACAGAAAGTGGGATTTTGCACCCTTACACTCAGTTTGTGCTCAGCACAGATGCCCTTCCTACACGAGTTTTGCCATGGCCTTGAGGTTGTGTTAAACATTAGAAAATTATATCAAGCATGTAGCAGAACAGGAGCTGTTAGAGGCTTAGTATGCACATCCATCACTATCCAAGAATGTCCATATGAAAGACATCTAAACAGAGAGGGTGGATTTTGACTGGAAGTTGCCATCTACTTCCTACCCCTGAATTTTGACATGGATTGATTTGGCCTTTGCTCCATGTTGCCTCCTCTGAGATACAGAGTCAAGAGGTAAGAAGATTTGCT